CTTTCCTTACTCCTTGTGAAGATCAGGACTACCAGCACTGACGGGAGCACCCTCTCAGTTCAAATGAGCAGGTCTTCACTAGACTCGCTAATTCGAACCACAGAAGATCAATTGCGGCAGCATGGCCTGGGAGGGCACAGCATGTGCCTCTCTAACAGGCCTCATCTATTCGGTATGACAAGAAGGCAAAAGGCTATTGCTTCAGAGGCAGGCTCTAGGAACTGTCCATGTGCAGCGCTCTACGGCAAACTTAGAATAGCTGCGGATGTGATTTAAGCTCTGGGCATTTAGGGTGTGTCTAGACTACCTAGTTTTGTTGACAAAAGTGGACTTTTGTCGACAAAACAATACCAGCGTCTACACTACCGCGGAGTTCTGTCGACATAACATCGACAGAACTCCGCAGTTTTGTCGACGCTGGTAAACCTCATTTTACGAGGCAAAACACTTTCTGTCGACAGAGTTCTGTCGACAGAAGGTGTTATTGCCTGTAACGTTGCGTCCAGACTACGGAGTTCTGTCGACAAAGCGGCTTGCTTTGTCGACAGAACTCCATGTGTCTGGACGCAAATTGTCAACGGAAGTTTTGTCGACAGTATCTGTCGACAAAACTTCCGTCGACAAAACGCGGTAGTCTAGACGTACCCTTAGTCAGAGCCTAATCCAAGCACTGGCAAATTACTCACCTAAGATCTCTGAATCCATTTGGGCTAGATAGGAAGGGGCACAGTGGTGGTGAGGAGTGTATAAAGACCCATCTTATAGTGGCCTGTGTAAGGGCTTGGTGGGATTGCTGTTCCCTTATGCCTAGGGGCTACTTTGTGCCTACTACCTGGGGACACATGGCACCCCAAAGGGCCTTTGTCTAGCCACTGGCTCATGAAGCCTCGTGCTTGTGCTGTGGGTCACAGTTTGCATTCCATAAAGAGGTACAGCATTAGTTGACTTGCCAACCTAACACCCCTGCCCTGCCCCCTGCCAGATCCTGCCCTGAGACTATGCCTCTTCCCCGTCTCTTTTCTGAGGCCCTGTTTCCTGCTGGCTCCATCCCTCTTCCCTCTATCTCTTGCTGTCCTCCACCCTCAGTAGAATGGAACTGCAGGTTGGGTTGAGGGAAGGGAGTGAGGGCTCTGTCTGAGGGCGCAGGCAGCTTTGGGGTGGGGTCAGGGATAAGGGATTTGGAGTGTAAGAGAGGTCACTGGTCTGTGGCAGGGAGTTGGGGTGCAGGTTCCCAGGAGCACTGATTATGGCTCCCAGGAAGTGGCCACAAGGTGCAAGGGCAGTCAGGGAGCTCAACGCACTGCTCTCGCACTCATTGGCACTGCTCTTGCAGCTCTCATTGGTTGCAGTTCTTGGCCAATGTGAGTTGTGGAGCCGGCACTTGGGGAGGGGGCAGTGTGCAGAGCTTCCCTGGGCCTAGCAGTTGCAGGGACTTGGTGGTCACATCTGGAAGTTGCATGGAGCCAGGGTAGATAGGAGGTCAGTCTTAGCACCAGACGTCCAGTGCATCCCCAAGTGGTCTTTTAAGGGTGCTGACTGGCATTGCCAGGGTCCCTTTAAAACCGGGCATTCCAGTCACAAACCAGACCAACCCTAAGCATTGGATGTGGCACACTAATCATCTCTGGGCTCTGGGAGGAATCCTGCCTCTAGCGGGAAAAATACCTTTGGGTGCTCCTCTTGGAAGGTGTTATGGAGCCTTAACCCCCTCTGTGTCTCTCAGTTACTGTGTGCAAGATAGGGCTGAGTTTGCTGAACTCTCTCCTTCCCTGGACCATTGCCAGAGTTAATGAGTTAATATTTGTACAGTCCTTTGAATATATAAAGTGCTGTATAAGTGCTAAGCATGCTGCAGCTGCACTGATGTCAGTGGGTTTGCCTGGGCCTGGCCTGATAACATGGTATCTTTTCCTTTCCAGAGGCATTGTCACTGAAGGGTGGAATTCAGCCTACAAAACTGATGAGTGAGCATGCACAGTAAACCCTCCCCCCGCCCTTTTCCCAAGAAATTCAGGAGTTAGGCGAAAAAGCTGTTTCTGAACCTCATAAAATGAGATTGTTTCTTGGTTTCACTGTAGCAGCACAGAAATGTTTGTGAAGATGTGTATGTTTTCAAGGGGCACCTAGCAGGCAGGTTTTGCTCATTGTGGCTCAGTTGATTTCTGTCCTTTGAGTGCCCTTTATAATGTAACATAAAAGTATCCGAGGAAATGGAGGAGCTAACAAAAGGAATCCATTACTGCAGGGGCTGGAAAACATGTCCCTTGCTCCCACCAGCACAGTTGGGGCCACATTAGTGAGGCTTGGGGGGGGGGGGGGGGGGGGGGTGTTATTTTTTAATAAACTGCTCCTCCTTTGAGAGAAAGCAGACATTTTTACTTAGCTCACATTTTTTAGACATGACAGTTCTTGGCCAATTCCAGATGGGAGCTTTTAGTTGCTTCCCTAGAATGGATGCTGGAATTGCAAGTTTCTCTGCCTTCCCCACATGTTTCAGAATTTGATACGAGATCTTTAAGTGAAAAAATGTGTAAGCCTTTTTGGTCCTAAAACATTCTTGCAACTATCTCCAGAGTTACCAGATGTTCCAGTTCCTCAGACACTTTTAATTTGCATAGGACATGAGCAAAAAACCATGCTCAAATCAACAAGATGCTGATATGGCAAAGGGACATAGTGCAGCCTCCTCATAAGCATCCTGGTGACTTCCAGCCATTGAGTCCCCCTTCTAACAACACCATCCCCTGATTTGGACTCATATTTCAGCCAGCTATCAACCAAAATACACACTCTGATTTGGTTTGGATTCTTTACAGCCAGTTTTTGTTGAATGCAGTTTATGGGTCAGTCAATACAGAATGGGTGTTTGGTTTATAAAGTGAATAATATTAGCAGGAGTATGTGACGTCCTTTATTGTAGCTCCAGCCCATATTGGCAACAATCAGTAAAGAATCTGTAAAAATTTTATGAGACCTGCTTGTTGTTTCCCCGCCAATCGCGGGCTGTGTCTAGACTGGCATGATTTTGTGCAAATACTTTTAACTGAAAAGTTTTTCCGTTAAAAGTATTTGCACAAGAGAGCATCTATACTAGCATGTGCCTTTGTGCAAAAGATGTGCTTTTGCACAAAAGCATCCGTGCCAGTGTAGACACTCTCTTGCGCAAGAAAGCTCCAATGCCATTTTAGCCATCGGGCTTTCTTGCGCAAGAAATTAACGTGGCTGGCTACACTGTCCCTCTTGTGCAAGAATACTTGCGCAAGAGGGCTTATCCCTGAGTGGGAGCGTCAGAGTATATGCGCAAGAACCACCGATTTTATACATTACAAAGTCAGTGTTCTTACGCAAATACTCGTAGACAGTGTAGACAGGTGGCAAAATTTTGCGCAAACGCGGACACGTTTGTGCAAAATCATGCCAGTCTAGATGTAGCCCCAGTGTCCATTTTTAATAACAATAAACATGGCAGCAGAAACTTTCCAGGCTCTGTCTCCAACAGTGTGTCCTGTTCCACTGGTTCCACTATCTGCTGCTCCCAAACAGATTATCTAAAGATGAACCAGAATGTGCGGCCACTGCTCTGAAGCTCAGACTCCTTTGGGTCTCAGTGCCAGGGTCACTTCTTGCCCTTCATCCATCAAATAATATTCTTTTGGCACTAGGGAGTTTAACTAGGGACCTACCAACTTCATGGCCATGAAAAGTGCATCATGGACCATAAAATCTGATTTTCCCCTGTGAAATCTGGTCTTTTGCGTGCTCTACACTTCCTAAAAGATTTAATAGGGGAGGCCAGCATTTCTCAAAGTGGGGTTCCTGACCTACAAGACAGTTTCAGGAGGGTCACAGGGTTAATTTAGGGGATCATGGAATAGTCACCCATACTCCTGTGCTGACTTCAGAGCTGGGCAGCATGCCATTCCATGTTACCCTTACATCTTTGCTGCTGCTGGCATACCCCTTTGCAAGAACCTTTTGACTCCCCCAAAACTTTTTTTTGAACCAGGTCCCCTATGAATCATAGCATCGTGACATTTCAGATTTAAATTGCTGAAGTCATGGAATTTACCATTTTTAAAATCATATGACTGTGAAATCGACCAAAATGAACTGTTAACTTGTTAGGGCCCTAGTTATAGGGTAACCCTCCTTAGCTGATTGTCATACATGTTTGTGGGCTCAGGGTTCGCTACAGTTCTCAGAACCCAGTTACATTTCTCAAAAAAGAGACAGGATGACAGAATTCCCAGAGGTGCCATTAGCATCCTTCATTTTGCAGCCTTGAGCCACTTAATCCACTCTCTGCATTGATCCCCAAAGCCACCAGCTGCTCTGAAATAATCTGGACATTTTGGTCCAATTTTTCAAAAATGACCTCTGAGTGTCTTGTGTTGGGCACTCTAAACACTGAGGCCTCTCAGACCAGAGGCCACTTCTCAAACGTTTGTCCTTTCAAAGCAATAAACGTCTTAGCTTTTTTCTTTGCTTTCCTTTTTCTTTCCATTCACTGTCACTTTGTTGGATCTGTACAAGCAGTCATGACTTCCAGCACAGAATTAAATGGCTTTACATGGCAACATGCCTCTAGCACAGTATTAACCTCCCAGCAGTTGGCAGAAAGAGATTAATGTTACAATTAGCTAGTGGATGTTTGATAGCTTAACCTCCGGAACACATTGCACTTGTGACTGTTTGGGCTCAGCCGGGGGTTTTGTTGCACTAGTTCCAACCTGCAAACCTCCTAGTTCAGGCATTATCTGGGACCTTTTTTGAACTAGGAGATTTGCAACGAAGGGAGATTTTTTCTTTGTATAAACAGGGCCTTTCTGAGTGGAAGAAATAATGTTCTCAACAGGTAAATATCAGACTGTATTGGCAACAAATATTTACAGGCTCATTGGGAAAAATTAATAATGTAAACTCACAAAGACAGACAAACAAATAAAACATCCCCAAGGTGGAAAGTACTGGAGCCTGATCCTGCAAGGATTTTTTTCCTCAGCGGAAAGCACGAACACTGTCCCTCACTACCACAAATTATGCAGCTGAGTTTCCTACGTTTGGGGAAATTGCAGGGGTCAGCACACCCACCGTGCAATGGATGAGCCTCACCCTGGGAAAACCATTTTCATGACCATGGTATCTCCTCTGATAGTGCACCCCCCACATGGTGTTGAGAGCCCTCAAATCCTGTTGAGTATCTCACTGGAATTAAGAGTGTTCAGCTCATGCAGTGTCTGGGTTTTGGATGAAGTGTGGTGTGAGCAGGGGCAGATGACTGTTTTGCGGGGCCCCGGGCAGCATAATTTTGCGGGGCCCCCCTTTGCCATGGCGCATGCGTGGGGCTTTTTGAGGCGCGGGGCCCGGGGCGGCCGCCCCGTTCGCCCTGCCCTATATCTGCCCCTGGGTGTGAGAACCACTGTGCATCGCTGGATGTCTTGTCAAAGCTATTCAGGCATTTAAGGCTGCTGCTCCCAAAGTATGTTGTGTCTCCCACATGCAGGCTGAGATAGGGTTCATCTGCATGGCAAGCAGAAACCTGCAGCAATGAGTCTCAGTGTGTGGATCTTCAGATTTGGGGTCACAGGGCTTGTGCTACAGTGAGAAAATTAGCTGTAGACATTCAGATTGGCAGAGACATTCAGTCTCAGAAGGCTAGAGAAGGGGGAGAGGGGAGCTTCACAGACTGACCTTGAATGTGTACCCGGTTGTTTTAGGGTGCGTCTATACAGCGGCGTTATTTCGGAATAATGGCTGTTATTCTGAAATAACAATGCGAGTCTTTACGTAGCAATTCTGTTATTTCAAAATAAATTTGAAATAATGGATGGCTTATTCGGACTCCAATAAACCTCATTCTGTGAGGAATAACACCTATTCCAAAACAGCAATTTCAAAATAGCTGTAGTGTGGGCACTCCACTGCAGCTATTTCAAAATAACTACTTTCCGGGGCCATTCAAAGTAATTACTCCCTAGTGCTTCCTGGGGCTCTACATCGAGGTAGGGCATCCACATTAGGGGAGCCTGCCTCAGACTAATGTTGAGGTTTCCCTGTAGCATAGCTGTGCTATTTCAAAATAAGTGTGCAGTGTAGACATACCCTGAGTGCCATAGCATGAGCCCAAATCTGGGTCTGTATAGCCAGGCTCTGACACTTGCTGCTACTTGCCATGCAGACGTAAACAAAGAAGAGATACATACAGCTAACTCCAGCTGTGTCCAGAATGGCAATTCCCATTCATGGAGGATTGTGAGATTTCAACATTTGTTTTGGTTTTGATTTGGAACAAAATTCGGAAGAAAAAGTTGCTTGGAGGTGGATCCAAATGTTTTTTTTTCTTTTTAAACTTTTTTTTAATTATAACACAAACTATAATTTTTCAAAACAATCATTTCTAAAAGAAAAATTGTCAAAGCTCCGCTCCCTGCTTTTTATCTCTGAAACAAAAGTTTTGATGAAATCCAAACAGTTTTGTGAAGTGTTTCTATTTTGGAGGAATTGCATTTGCCAATGGAAAATGGTTCTGATGCAGATTTTTTTGGTCAGCTCTGATATCAAGTCCGAAATAAGGGCTGGATCTTGAAAGCAGTGTGTACACACAACTCCCATTGAATTCATTGAGACCAGAACGGACTTAAGCACATCACAATGCAGCCCCTCCCCTTTGCGTGTGGTCCCGTCCTCTACCTAGAGGAGAAAAGTGGCAGGGGAGCTTAACAGACTGTGGCACATGGTCTGTTAACACCTTGCCTGAAGAATGGCAGCAGTATTTTCTCTTCTTAGGAACAGCAAGTGTGGCAGCTGGGGTCCCCTGGCTCCTGTAGAGACACTGGTGAAAGTGGTGAGGTGTGTGAGAAGGGGTGTATCTGCTGAGGGTGAATCCTCTTCTACAAGTGTGGTAATCCTGCGCATCCGCCTCTGGCTGCTGCACATACAGACCTCTGCACAAATGTCTGTATAGAGCTCTCTACATTTTAAACAGTGAGAGTAATTAACCATTAAAACAATTTATCAAGAGTTGCAAGAGTATTTTCCATCACTGACAATTTGTAAATCAAGGTTGGGTGTTTTTTCTCAAAGATCTGCTCTTGGATCATTCTGGGGACAGTCTGTGGCCTGTTTTATACAGGGTAATCACCATGGTCCCTGCTGGCCTTGGAATGGATGAATTTATTCTGGGGTGATGTTGGCAGGGCCCTCCAGAGCAGTGGGTTTGGGAGTTACACTTACCTGACATGCAAGGGGATGACTATTTCTCTCTGAGCTGTAGTTTCGGGTTGTTTTCAGATTCAGACAGTTATCACTATTTCAGTTATACCAGGCAGAGGTGAGCAAAAAACAGCCCGTAGGCCACATTTGGCCCACCATACATTTGGGTCTGGCCCGCCACAATCTCTGGGTTGCCAAAGTCCAGAGCGAAAGCAGGACCCTTGGATAGGCTCCCTGCCTGCTGCGGCCCCACACACCACTCAAAGAGGCCAGCTGCTGGGGCCAGCATGTGCATCTCTGCATGGCACGCACCCCTTGGGAGGTTGGAGCTCTCCGCATATTGCCTGCCCTGCACAATTCTTGCAGCTCCCATTTGCTGAAAACTTGCTCATGGGAACTACTTGGGCCATGCGTGTGGGCATGTGCAACCGGCCCCTCCTCCCAGGGCATGTTCCGTGCAGAGACGCACATGCTGGCTCCAGCCGCTGGCCTTTACGAGCGACATGTGGGGTAGTGGCTGGCAGGGAGCTACTGGAAAGGGGCTGTCTTGGGCAAATGCCTCCTGGCAAGAGCCTACACCTGGAACCCCACTGCCTCCTTCATTCCAATTCCCTAACCCAGGTCACAACTCCCTCTTACCCTAGATCACAATCCAAACCGCTGCACCCCATCCTGCACCTGTGCCACAGGTTACAACTCCCTCCCAGATCCTGCACCTCCTCCTACATGTCTCCCTCGGTCATAATCCTTTCCTGCACCCACCCCCATCCAAGAGCTTGCATCCCCTCCTGTACCCCAATGCCCAACCTCCATAACAATCCCATCCTTCATCCAACCCCCTCACCCCCAGATCCCCTCCTGCACCCCAGTGCCCTATCCTGAGTTCCTTTTTGCACCCAAGCTCAATCCCAGACCATGCTCCCCTTCTATTAATATCATAGAAAAGTGTGGCCCTTGACCACTTACCACATTCTTGGAGTGGCCTCTCCTGAAAAATTATTGCCCATCCTGGATTATACTCAGGTCACATATCCAAGCTTTCCTTTGAAACTTACTTTGCAACATAAGAACAGCCATACTAGGTCAGACCAAAGGTCCATTTAGCCCAGTATCCTGTCTGCTGACAGTGGACAATGCTCAGAGGGAATGAATGGAACAGGTAATCCTCAAGTGATCCATCCCGTCACTCATTCCCAACTTCTGGCAAATAGAAGTTAGAGACACCATCCCGGCCCATCCTAGCTAAGAGACACTGATAGACATATTCTGCATGCAAATATCTAGTTCCTTTTTGAATCTTGAAGTCCTGGCCTTCACAACATCCTCTGTCAGGGAGTTCCACAGATTGACTGTACGTTGTATGAAGAAATGTTCCTTTTTTGTTTTGAATCGGTTGTCTATTAATTTCATGTGGTGACCCCCTAGTTCTTGTGTTATGGGAAGGAGTAAATAACTTTTTCTTATTTACTTTCTCTACACCACTTATGATTTTATAGATTGCTATCATATTCCCCCTTAGTCAGCTTTTTTCCGAGCTGAAAAGTCCCAGTTTTATTAATCTCTCCTTATATGGCAGTTGTTCCATTCTCCAATTGTTTTTGTTGCCCTGTTATGAATCTTTTCCAATTTCAATATATCTTTTTTGAGATGAGGTGACCACATCTGCCTACAGTATTCAAGATGCGGGGTACCACGGATTTATAGAAAGGCAATATGATATTTTCTGTGTTCTGATGTATCCCTTTCTTAATGAGTCCCAACATTCTGTTTGCTTTTTAACTGCCTTTGCACACGGAGTGGATGTTTTCAGAGACTGACTCCAAGATCTCTCTCTTAATAGCAGCTAATTTGGACCCCATCATTTTACATACATAGTTGGGAGGGTGCTTTCCAAAATTCATTAATTTGCATGTAACAACATTGAATGTCATCTGCCATTTTGTTGCCCACTCTCCCAGTTTTGTGAGATCCTTTTGAAGCACTTCATAATCTGCCGCAGACTTTACTGTTTTGAGCAATTTTGTATCATCTGCAAATTTTGCCTCCTCACTGATTACCTCTTTCTCCAGATCATTTATGAATATGTTACAGGAGTGCCATTTAGGCAGGGCTGGAGGATTTGTACCCCCGCCCCCCCCGCCACATATTTTTGTGCCAGAGGTCTAGTCACCCTAGTCCCAGATAGAATCCTTACCTGCAACACATCCTGGGTGTGATATGTGATGAATTTGGAAGCTAGGAGCAACATATTCTTTGCATCAAGGAGTTTGTTTCTAAACAGGGGCAGGGTGAATAAGATAACAGAATGATTGTCATTCAAGCAAACTAAGGATCATTAGATGATCCAGAAAACATTGTCAGGTGCTCCAGTCAAAAGATAGGAAAGAAAGGGTGGGAATAAATGGTGAGAGCAGTGAGAAGTAAAGGTATTGTGATAGCAGAGTACCTGTAAGAAAGTTAAGTTACTTTCACCCTTAGAGAGAAGTAATTAGTGGTGTCCCCCAGAGGTCTGTACTGGGTCCAGTGTTGTTCAACACATTCATAAATGATTTGGAAAAAAAAAGGGTATACAGTGATATGGCAAAATTTGCAGATGATATAAAATTAATTCAAGATTGTTAAATCCAAAGCAGTCTGGGAAGAGTTAAAAAAAGCATTTCACAGAACTGGGTATCTGAGCAACAAAATAGCAGATGAAATTCAATGTTGATAAATGCAGAGATGCAGAGTAATGCACTTGGCAAAATATAATCACACACACACACACACTCCCTCTCTCTCTCTCTCTCTCTCTCTTTCTCTCTCTCTCTCTCTCTCTCTTAAGAGATCTAAATTAGCTGAGACCACCAATAAAGAGATCTTGAAGTCAATGTGGATAGTTGTCTGAAAATATATACTCTATATCCAGTGATAATCAAAAAATCCTAACAGAATATTGGGACTCAT